AAAATGATTCTTCTGTCAATAGTGTGATCAATAGTATCCTTTTCTAAATAGCATCATGAATGCTTTGATAGAGTTCTGCGTGTAATTTGGACTGATTATTACTTATAAAATTTAATCAAAGCATTTCTTGTTTGGAATAACTGTTCACGATGTATAGGGCAAAAGACATTTGGATTTTAGAATAATATTATAATCATCAAGCGAAAAAGGGTTTCTGTTCTAAATCACTAAAATAAAAATAACTAAAAATAAAAAAAAAATAGGAATCCAGCTTATATATCTTAGAAAATTAATTTAAAATTATTATTAATAGATGCTAAGGAACTAAATTCTTGTATTTAAATTAGTTTTTTAAAAATCACTAAAAATGAGAAAATAAGTAATCATTTTGAATATAAATGTTTATTTCCTAGCAACTATTTATATTATTTTCAATATTGCCTTTAAAATATTTAGAAGATATATGCGATATTTACAATTTTTAAGGGCAAGGGAAAAAAGGAGAAGGGTAGGAAAGGGAAAAAGGTGGGAAATGAGAAGCAAAATCAAAAAGCGAAAGGAAAAGGGAAAGAAATATGTAAAGGAAAAGATAAAGGTAAAAGGAAAAGAAAAAATGTAAATGGAAAGAAAAAATGAAAGGGAAAGAAAAAGTGAAAAGGGCAAGGTAATAAGAGTAATTAAAAGGAAAAGGGAGGAAAAGGAAAGAAGAAAAAGAGTAGAAATAGGAAGGTAATAAGAGAAATTAAAAGAGAAAGGAAGGAAAGGAGAAAGAAAAAGGAATGTAGAAAGGAAATTAAAAAGAGAAGGGGGAAAATGGAAAGAATGGGTAAGGGAAAAAAGGAAAAGAAAAATGGTAATGTAAAATAAAGGAGAAGGAAAAGGAAAAGGAAGTGAGAAGAAAGAGGAAGTCAATAAGATAAATTTAAATGGAAAGGAAGAAAAAAGGAAAGAAGGGAAAGGAAAAGAGAAGAAATGGGAAGGTAATAAGAGAAATTAAAAGAGATGAAGGAAAAGAGATGACGGAATAGAGAAAGAAAAGGGAATGTGGAAAGGAAATTAGAAGGAAAGAGGGAAAAAGGAAAATAAAAATGGTAAAGGAATAGAGAAGAACAGAAAGTGGAAGGTAATATGAGAAATTAAAAGGGAAAGGAAAGGAGAAGAAAAGGGAAAGTAATAAAAGAGAAGGGAATGAAAAGGGTAATGAAAAGAAAAGAAGAAGAATATGAAAAATTAAAAGGAAAAGAGAAATGATTATGGAAAAGAAATTAAAAAGGGAAGAGGGGAAAGAAGAAAAGGGGGGAATGAAGAGAAAGGGAGATAAAGGAAAATAAAAAGGGTAATGAAAGGGAAAGAGAAAAAAGAGGAAGAATAAGAGAAAGGAAGACAAGGAGAAAGAAGGGAAAGGAAAAGAGAAGATAACAAAGGGGAAGGTTATTAGAGAAATTAAAAGGGAAAAGAGAAAGGAAAAGTGAAATAAGGAATATGGAAAAGAAATAAATGGAAAGAGGAGAAAGGAAAAGAAAAAGAAAAAGAAAAGGGGATAAAAAGGATAAAAGGAAAATGGTAATGAAAAAAAAGGTAAAGAAGAGGGAAAGGAAGGGAAAGAAAGGGCGAAAAGTGAAAGGAGAAAGAAAAGAAAAAAAGGTAAGGAAAAGAAAAATGGTAAAGAAAAGAAAAAGGAAAGAAATATGTAAAGGAAAAGAGAAAGGGGGAAATAAAAAGAGGTAAAGGGAAAGAAAAAGGAAAAAAGGAAGAGAAAGAAAAGAAAGGGGAAGATAATAAGAGAGTAATTAAAAAGGAAAGGATGGTAAATACGAAGAAAAGAAAGGAAAATAGAAAGAAAAAGGAATATGGAAAGTAAATTAATAAGGAAGGTTGATTAACCTGCCATCTCATTTCATTGTTTGGCAATGACTGATTAATCAAAATTTGTACAATCATTAAGAAGGGTTAAGACAAGGTCTATTTTCTAAAATAAAAACAAAATATTAATATTAATAATGCACCTGCAGGGGAGCCAATATTAGGTTCAACTCTCTATAAATAATGGGAATATCATCAGATATTGGTAAAGCTAAAACAAATGTAATCTGAAATATAAGAAAGTATAAGTATTAGGTTCCACTCTCCAGCAATTGTTGGAATATCATCAGATATTGGTAAAGCTAAAACAGATGTAATATAAAAATGTAAGAAAGTATAAGTAAAACATGTTTAGAAAATTATAAAAATAAATAAACATTATTATATTTTACTAACTTATTGTTGGTAGAATTTTGGACTTCGTGATTTTTGGAATATTTATTTTGCTCATTAAAAGCCATGTCTTTCTTTGTTTGGCAATGATAGATTAATCAATTAAGATAAGGCCTGTTTTCTAAAATAAAAATATAATATAAATATAAAATAATGCACTGAACTTGCATAGGGTCAATATTAGGATTAACTCTCTAAGAATTGTGGGATTATCTTAAGGGTAAAGCTATTGTAATCTAAAATGTAATTTTATAGTTTTTTAATAAATTTATTTACTTTAAAAAAACTTCTTTTTTTAAAAAAAAAATATTTACGTTTAAAAAAAATAAATAAATACGTACCGATGACATGTCTTAGCGATCACACGATGTAGCGATGACATGACGTCACGATGACATATTGAGGACATCGGAAAATTATAATATAGATTTATATATCTATTTTTAAGGATCCGATCTATTTTGAAACTTTTCATTTCGTTGCGCCTAACATTATTCCCTTTAACTGCTGATTTGTATTAATCAGTAAAAAAAAACAATAAAAAACTATACATGTATCACTATTTTTATCGTATTGAAAGAACAATATATAATATATAATATATTTTTATAATTTAATAAATTTATATATCTATTCATTAGGTTACTTATTTTTTTAAAGCTAACCATTTCGTCGTACCGAGCAAACTCTTTTATATTTAATGATTTTCGTCGCATTTACCATTATTTTCTTTTATTCCTGAGGTTTAATTGTATTACTCAGTAAACAAAGAAATTCAATAAAAACTATACATGGTTTACATGGTATGATATTTTTATAATTTAAATAAATTTATATATCTATTCTTAAGGATCTTTATTTTTTAAATCTAAATTTTGTCGTGCCGAAACACTTTCTTTTTATTCACGATTCTTAAGGATCTATTTATAAAGCTTGCAATTTTGTCGCACCAACCATTATTCCCTTTTATTCCTGTGGTTTATCTTGCATTAATCATTAAAAAAAAATTCAATAAAAAACTATACATGATTCAATATTTTTATCTTATTTATATAACAATATAATTGTTATCAAATCAGATTTTAATATATAACTTAACTTTATTAAATGATATTTCAAAATGTATGTATATCACTCTTCAAAATAATATATGACTGACTTTATATATATATTTTTGTCAACAATTTAAATATGTTTAAAAAAATCAATAAGATAATCAATCATTTTTTGTTACGTAATAATAAAATAAATTATAATTTAAACGATGATATAAATTGGATTCTTAAGCAAAAACTAAATATAAATATAAATCGTGTCAATTATACTTTTGTTATTGCCGTAAGATATCAAAACTATAGAACTTAAATATCATTAAAATTAAACTAAAACTTAAAATAATATATATAATTAAAAGGGTTTTAGACATTCTATTATTAAACTCATATTCATGACAAACAATATACTATAATAATGTATTCATTGTAAATGAGTTGTTTTTTATACGAATTCATGTTTTAAAAAATAACACTTTTAAATTCATAATATTTTGATAGTTGATAGTAGAACATTAATAATTTAAGTTATTCTTTTTAAATTTCTGAAGGTAGTACCATTATAATATAAAAGATTTAATTAATAATATAATATAACTGCTGAAGAATGCGTATTTTTTTTTATGGGGGTAGGTATAATTTTTTGAGGGCGGTTTGCATTAAATGATAATCCTGTTATTTAGACACAGATTGTATGCAATATGTAGATTTGGTCGACGTTTAAAAATATCAATGAATTTGAATATAATAAAAATATTAATCTTTACAGCAATACATTTTGCCCTATCTTATCTAAAATGTTAATAGATAGACCTCCAATAAATTTATCCTACCCCAAGGTTATTTTCCTTAAATGCCTAACCCCTACCTCTTTAAAAGAAATAGGAAGCAAAGTGTCCCTACCCCTCCCGTTCATGTAGACGTTGTAAAGATTTGTGTAAGTTAGTCTAAAAAGATCAACAATAAGTGAACCTAAAGACATCAAATAAAATATATTAGGAAAATCTTTTTAATAATAACACCCTACGGTATCCTGGCTACCCTCACCTATGAATAGTCTTGTGAACACCGATATCTCCCTGGTTTTTTTCAAAGTTTGAAATTTAAATACTTGTAAGATGACCCATGGCATTCTATATCCTAACTACCAGTTTCTCAATGCCACTTCTACCTTTGTTATCAAAAGTTACTCTTTGACAAGTAACTTAGGTCAGAGGCATCACTAGCCTTTACAATATCAGGGGGCCTAAAAAAAGTTATATTTAAAATTACCACCTTTTAGCTAACATTATCTAAAATTACCATTCGTCATTACTTTTTTAAACTATTTTTGACACGATTGCAAAGTTTAAAATTTTTGCAGTTTTTAAAATATTGCAGTTTTTAAAAATTCCAACATATTAGTTTTTAATAAAAAACATTTTTGATACTTTTTTTATAGTAGTTTGATATAATTGCTTAACTCTACTCCCGTCACAAATTTTGCACTTTATGGCTTGTGCATTTTATGGATTCTTATTCTCCATATTTTATCGACCAATTGAGATAAACCAATTAAAATATGTATAAGCTTAGGCATTTTCTAACAATAATTATAAAACAACATTGACTCTCAATAAAAGGTGTCAAGTTGCATATCACTTGTCAACAGGTGCTACTTTAATTAAAAAAATAATAATTATGGAGCTGGATTGTAAAGCTCCCCAAAGACAAATTTTTAACATAAATGATATGAAAAAATGGATTAATTCTAGTGTAAATTGGCATTAGCAAAACAATTTGATTTTCTTAATTTAGGCCTATAAAGAATATGTACAATTTATCGAAGCTTTGAATGATGGCGTTAAATCTAAATCATCAACTGATCTACATTACACATCCAATGTATTTTTATTTTGTATTAACTATATTATATAAGTTTTAATTTATAGGAAGCAAAAAAAATTGTTGATATATTGGAAATAATTGAAAGATTTATTGATAATATACCACCTATTGACCAGCCTCAAAGATTTGGAAATAAAGCTTTTAAAACATTTTATCAAAAATTGTGTCAGGTATATATTAACATCACATTTTTATATAATTTTATTTAGGAGAGTAAAGATATATTAAAATCAAGTTTAAATGGGGATCAACATGCAGCAATAATTGAAATTGCACCATACCTTAATGAAAGTTTTGGAAATGAAATTAGGATTGATTATGGAACTGGTATAGTTATAAAATATTTATTGATTATTTAGTTATAATTTTAAAATTTTATTTAAAATATAATTTATAAAGCAAGTTATTATTATATATGTTAAATTTAGTGTAGTAAAATGGCTCATTTTGAGCCGATTTTTTAAAATGGCTAACTCAATATTTATAGTCAGAATAATATTACCTAAGCCTCGAGTGGATATGTGTAGACCTTTGTTCCTTCTATGAGCAAAATCTTCAGGTTTGCATAATATTTTTTTGGATAAAATATTGAGTTAGTCGTTTTTAAAAATCGGCTCAAAACAAGCCATTTAACAACACTAGTTAAATTATATATATGATTTCTTCATTTATTCATGGAACATGGAACTTTATCATTCTTTTTGATATTGATAGTTTATAGGCAACCATTTAGGAACAGATATCTAAGATTTATAAAAAAATCGTTTTCATTTTCTTGACAGAAGATATAGATACTTTTTTATATTTTGTTATAACATCAATTTTCACTTTTAATATTTTTTATCTTGATTACATACCAATTACTTTGATTGCAAAATAGATAATCCAATGTTATGATTTCTTATCCATATGTATTATAGGCATGTGTACAAGCTGGGCCATAAATTTAAAAAAAATAAACTTGGCTCAGCTATTTGCAAATTAAGTTATGCATTTGGTACCTGTAGTAATACCGACTACTAATTTATTAACAATACGACTACTAATTTATATTTCAATTTATTTCAAACATCAAATTTATATTAATTAATTTTCGAATATTCTATTCTATTTTTATATATAATATCTATAAATAATATTTTATTAATTTATTACATTTCCTTCAAACATTTTAAAGTTAGATTTCTTCAATAAACCTCTTTGTAGGTTTACAGTTTCTCTTTATGACGATCAAAGTTTACCCAACTTTGCTGAATATGTATTGCTACTTTTTTTAATATTAAATCTTGCTTCGACTCTTTCGTAGAATATTTTCTGACAATTGCATATCATCCAAATTATTACATCGGATATCCATAGCATGTTTAGAATCTTGATTCTCTTCTGAAATTTCTTGGTGTTTATTAATCAAATCTCGAATTCTAGAATCTAGTGTTATGCAACATTTTTCTTTTTCAATATTGTTAACCAAATTGCCTACTTGTTTAATCATAACCTGACGAGGCATTTCTAAATTGAATGCTAAAATCCATGGTAATCCGAAAAGAGGCACCCCAGTTGTATTCATTATTACCACTGATAGGGTCCTTGTCTGTGATCCAATCATAACATTGACTTGGGTCTCACCCTTAACGTCTAATGGATGATCACCATATGCAGTCAATGGACTGGTTGGCCTAATTTTTGTTCGTCCAATACTTGTCCATATATCAATTCCTATCAATGACGTTTGTGCACCAGTGTCAAAATCAAATTCAACATCTAACCCATTTATCTCTGCAGTTAGTTTTGCTCGATTCTCTCGATTTTGTTGAATCTTCCAAATATTATGAATAGAATCACTTGGTGGCACTCTTATATAATTTAAATTCTTTTATTTACAGCAAACTGCAAAATGACCAATTTTTTTACATTTATTACATGCTGCATTTGTAGCTTTATTAACAACAGGCATATTTTTATTTGCCATATCTTTATCTGCTCGCTCAGAAGCTAATGCCAGATCAAGAATAAATTGGAAAGTCAGTACATTATTATCTCTATCAAGATCGTCGGGATATAGAGCTATAAGATCTCTTTCCAATCCCGGTATTTCCATGCCAACGATAAACTGATCACGTAAACGCTGGTCAATATCATTAAGATAATGACAATGCTTGCCAATTGTTCTAATTTTATCTGCAAATTCAGTTATGGTTTCAGTTGTTCTCCGTAATTTAACGAAACCAAATCTAGAAGCAAAAGCTGTTGACATCGGTTTAAATAATTTAAAACATTGACTTAATTTCCTTAAAAGATAAAGTTTCGATCGAATCTGGATAACAAAAACTGTCCACCAACTCTATATTCTTATTGCCAAAAAATGTTAAAAATATATCTTTATATTGACATTCAGATGGGCTTACGTTTTTTAACCGAAAACTGGCTTCCTATTGAGAAAAATATCTATAGATTGAGATATCCAACTCGAATTTATCAAATTTAATCGTAGATAAATCCTCTATTATTTTTGAATCTCCATTTAAGGAATTATTTTCTCCATTTAAGGAATTATTTTCTCCATTTATCGTCGCCATTTGTAGTAATACCGACTACTAATTTATAAACAATATGACTACTAATTTATTTCAAACATCAAATTTATATTAATTAATTTTCGAATATTCTATTCTATTTTTATATATAATACCTATAAATAATATTTTATTAATTTATTACAGTACATATGCAGGCCACTGATATTTATATTATTAAGTATTAAAATAATCATCATCTTATTTTATAGATTGAAATAAAATATATTGATTTATATTTCACTGTCCAAAATTTTAATTTGTCATTTGGTCATAGTATAGTGATAAAAATATTAACACTTGACTAATTCCGATTTGTTGATTGTATTTGTTTAAATTTTTTTATAATCTCTTTTAGTTTTAAAGTCTATTTATATAAATGATATTATAAGAATATTTTATTATAGTTGTCATAATACCTGTTAATGTTTTAGATAATTTTAAGAAATTTTTAAATAATTTGGAAAATTTTGAGATAGCTACCCTAGAGAAATAAACCATAGAATTTGATGTCATTTATTTGGAACTTATTTTTCATCTTGTTGAAATAATGGATACACATATATATGATAATTCTATATGTATTTCTGTTGGTTGATTTATACATCTTTCCATTTCCTCTCTTATTGTTAGGCCACGTAAACAATTCCTTTATAACAGTTCAGTGGGAAAGCAATGATAGTGATTTTTTGTGAACCACAGGATTATGACTCCTTCATCTACTTTATGACTTATTGTCCAGAAAGAATAAATAATGATAAAAGTAAAAGGAATTTTTAATAAGATACATCTATTTATATCTAAGATACAATTCTTTATAAAAAGAATCTATTCCAGATTAATTTTTAAGGACCTGCCCAATTTGGGTTTGGAATAGATTTTTTGATCAGGATTGAAGATTCACCATGAGGATAATTAAAATTTTCAAAGAAGGATATAGAATTTCATATAAAATTTGATCAAAAAACTTATTGCATTCTCAAAAAAATCCCTTTGAAGTTATTTTAAAAAGCATTTCAAACTGTTGAAAAACATGGTTGCAAAAATGGTTTTAAATTTGAAGATTGATAATGTTAGATTTTAAGGATTAAAAAGAAGTCCATGCCATACATTTCCTAATTTTAATTTCAGTTTATATTGAATTATTATCGGAATCAAGGTATTTGAAAAACTTTTTACATTTCAAATAGATATTTATTTGATTGAGGAAAACTGACATTGAGGATAATTTTTGTTTTAGGGATATTAATCACAAGTCCCACTTTAATGAACCTAAATTTAAGGTCCCAACCTCGAACTTGGGTATTGAATTGATAGGCAGAGGGATGCAAGAACGCCAAAGCCGATACCTTGACCTTTTATCCATACAAATCACTGATATACTGGGACAATTTACTTTTATAAAAAAATATTATCTTATATAAAAAACATCTCAATTAAATTTTTTTGATTGTTATTTAATAATTTATTCAGATCAATAATAACAGTTTAAATTATGAATTAAAAATTAATAATTTCTTCTATATTTATAAACTTTATAATAGTAAAAAAAATTACTCAAAAGTTTTGTGAAATGCACAGTGAGTTTTGCTGGCCAGAAATTTTTTTTAAAAAAGTTTTGCCGGCCCGGCCCGAACCCGAAATTTTTTAAAAAAGTTATGCCGGCCTGGCCCGAACCCGAAATTTTTGTTAAAAAAATTTACCGACCCGGCTTGGCCCGAATTTATTTAAATATAGAAATTAATTTTTATAATTACTCAAAATAAAAGACATATGTTATATGACGTTTAGTTACAATAAATAAAATCAAATATTTTTATTTTACATAAAAAATTCAGTATAATATTAATAAATTTAGATATATTTAAAAAAATTCCCAAGGTACGACCCGACCCGGCCCGAATATTTTTTAAAATATTAAGCCTGGCCCGAACCCGATTATTTTAAATACGGGCCGGGCCTAACTTTGCAGATCTCTAGTTTTGAGAGATACAAAACATGTCCTGAATCATACATTTATTTTCAATTTAAAATATATAAAATGTTTGATGCGAAAAATTACTAATTCTATATTTTATACTATTTGAAGATATGACTAAACGTAAAAAAGGCATAGATTTTTAGAAGGTCACTATATATGATATTATTTATATCATATATATTTATTCTAGAGATCAAGGACTTTTTAAATATTTGATAGTATTCTTTCATATCCTGACAAATTTTGTCAGATGTTCCACATGCATGTGGAAACATTCAATTACATTTTTATAAATTTGGAGTCTATAGACACCACTATATTTAAACATAAAAATTCTATCAGTGTGAAGCATCGGTTCTATATAACACTCATGTATGATGATTATTTTTTATATAAATAATCAGAATATATTTATAGATTTGACAACACAACTGGTATGAGCTTGAGCTTTAGAAAAATAGCATTATATGCAAAGATTAGTAAAATATCAGTAAGCATTATTGTTTAATCAACATGTAGGTTAATATGGGTAGGGTTTCAACCCAAGTATCTCTGTTTACCAACAGTTGAACAGATGCTTGAATTATCAACAGAATACTTCAGGAAATCTGGTTTTCGTCACATAAGAAATGCGATTGATGGAAAGCATGTAAAAATAAAACAACCTATAAATAGTGGATCCACAGTTTTTATTTATAAAAATTTTAATTCCATTGTGATTCAAGGTGTTTCAGATGACAAATCTATGTAATTATATATTTCTTAAATTTTAA